TATCCGGGGGCTGATCCATTGGTATGAGATCCTACAGCACAGCACTATAGACAACGGGCATACTTTACAGGACGTGAGGTGCAGCCCTGGGCACATGGCCACGGCTTCCGTCGACCCTACCGTGTAACTACATCACCCAGAAACGTGCGGCCTGCTAGAATGACATGGCCTGTTGAAGGCCCAACTGAGGCACCAGCTTGGAGAAAAACATCTTGCAAGGATGGAGTACCGTCCTCGAGGTATATTCGAGCCAGCTGTTAGTTGATGCTGTGTCCCAGTAGGTAAAATTTATGGGTCCAAGTATCAAGAGGTGCAAGTAGGAGTCCCCCCACTTACCACCACTCCCAGCAACCCAGATGGGGGAGTTTGCGTTTCCTGCCGTCATGATTCAGGGCTCTGGGTTTGGAAGTCTGGGCTCATTAAGGAAGAATGCTTACATCAAACTGAAGGCTTCTGTTGGCGTTGAGTTCGCGCCAGCGGTCATCGGTTCACGATGATAATGACCCAGACTCAAGATCGCTTGTAGCAGTGGGAAGGGAGGGCTCGTCCACCCCACTCATGTTTCTCTTGCAATTTCCTAAGAAAAGGAGGCTCATTAGATTCCTGGGGGAGTTATCTAGAATGTGTTAGATAAGCCAGTGAATCTGAGCAGCACTAAGGGCGGGTCCTGATTGCCTGGCATGCTGCCCGTATGTTCTCTTCCCAGGACCAAAGTGCCCCCTTCCCAGCTGCGAGTACTGACAGCCAACAGCTCTCGGCGGAACTCCCTCTGAGAGACCTGCCCTTGGTTGAGGAGACCTGCCTTGCTCAGAATTCTGCCCTTTTTGGGAACATCCGGCATTCATGATTGGTTGAGAGTCTAAAAGCCTGGACCTTCACCCCAGTTTGGGTTTCCTTAGTTCTAAAGCCCTTTGTGGGACTGAGTGAGACCTGCCTTGTGACAGTGTCACAGCACAAAGGTTCTCTGTTCTCGGTCCTGCTTCCCATTACCTCCAGTCCGCTTTGTGTGACAATTCTTTTATTTATTTAAAAAATGTTTTCTTTTTTTTTTTTTTTTTTTATCCTCACCTGAGGATATTTTTCCATGTTTTGTACAGATAGAGTGGGAGGGAGAGAGAGGAAGGGAGAGAGAGAGAAACATCGACGTGAAAGGGACACATCGAGTGGTTGCCACCCGCACGACCAACCAGGGCCGGGGACAAACTGCAACCGAAGTACATGCCCTTAGCGGGAACCGAACCCGGGTCTCTCCAGACCGCAGGCCGACGCTCTAACCGCTGAGCCAAACTGGCCAGGGCTAAAAAATGTTTTCTTATTAATTTATTTTTGTTACAGATGTTTTCTCTCATTAACACCCTCCTACCGATCCCCCCCCCTGCCCCCTGGCCCGTCCCCAGCGTTGTTGTCTATGTGCATTGGTTACGCATAAGTGCATGTAAGTTCTGTGGTTTATCTCTTCCCTCCCTCCAATCCCTCTTCTGAGGTTTGACAGTCTGTACCCTACTTCTATGTCTCTGGGTCTATTTTGTTCATCAGCTTGTTTTGTTCATTATATTCCACAAATAAGTGAGATCATGTGATATTTGTCTTTCTCTGATTGGCTTGTTTCACTTAGGATAATACTCTCCAGGTCCCTCCAGGTCGTCTCAAAAAATAGATCTTTCTTTCTTACAGCTGCATAGTACTCCATTGTGTATATGTACCACAGCTTTTTTATCCACTCATCTACTGATGGACACTTTGGCTTTTTCCAGATTTAGCGATTGTAAATAGTGTTGCTGTGAACATAGGGGTACATATATTCTGTAACAATTTTCATCTAAGGGTTTGCTTCCTATTTGGTGACTTCTCTGGTTCCCAGTTAGGATCTGTGTGCCATCAGAAGGCTGAAATATCTCCACTGCTCTGTGCCCACAATTAAAACATTTTAAAAATACATATTTTTATTGATGCTTTAAAGAGAGAGGAAGAGATAGAGACATTGATGTGAGAGAGAAACTTGGATCAGTTGTCTCCTGCACACACCTCAATGGGGATCGAGCCCGCAATCTGGGCATGTGCCCTGACTGGGAATAGAACCAGGACCTCTCAGTCCATGGGAATGATGCTCAACCCACGGAGCCACAAGGGCTGGGCTGTGCCCACAATTTTATATTCCAGGGCCAGGTGATGCTGTGCCCAGTTAGATGTGAATTGGGTTAAGGATTCCTTGAAAGGGAAGAGAGAGCTTGGTATAAGGGATGAGAGACATTCTGTTTAGTCTTTAACAAATGAAAGGCATTTCTCCCCCTTTCCTCCCCCTCCTGACCCCCTCTTCAAGATTTGCTGGTGTCAGAGGGTCAGCTGATCCCAGTGAGGTGTCCTGTGGCCACTCCACGGCTGGTCTGCTGGTACCTGCCTCCTGGACACGCTGACATGCTCGGGGCTGAAGTCTGCTAGGCTGCAGGAGAGACAGGGAGGCTTGTTGTCCCTGGAGGGGGGGTCCAGTGATTGCTATGGATGGGAACCATTCCTCGTAGCCACTAGAAGCTCTCTGAGGGCTCCCGGGGTCCATGCTTCTACCTGAGGCTCTCACAGAGAAGCTTCCCACAGAGGCTCGGTTTGAGAACTAGTGGGTGCCTCACTTACGTTGCCTGTGCTACGGCCACTGCATAGAGTAGGCGATGGGACTTTGGTGGGAATGGTGTCCCTGGGCTATCTAGTACAGTGACCCTGCCGGACATAGCGTGACGCGGTGGGCAATTGACTGTCCAGATTGGCAGCCTTAGGCCAGGTGGAGTTAAATGAGCAGGGCACCTGTGATTATTTTCTACCCCTGGGAGCAGCTGGTCTCTGTGCGCAGGCATAGGGGGTCACATGACTGGCAGAAATGCAGGCTGATCCCAGATGCTGCAGAGGAATTCTGATGAGTTGCTTATACAGGACGTGGAGGTCTTGTCCATTTGGTTAGAAGCTCTGGAGCTTGGAAATCTAGGGTGTAGGGTTAAGGATGATGAAGGGGGGGTGCACTTTCTGGGTCTGGGCAGCCACCCTGTAACTGCCCAGGAAGTTATAGGGGTTTCCTGCTTCTCCATTACAACATGTCACATTCTACTTTCCCTGGTCCCATCCTGCTAGCAGGGGCTTCTCCCCTCCATCTACCCCTGCCCCGGCTCCATTTTCCGTACCTCTTGCCGATACATGGCAGCAGCGTACTAGCTGCTCCTCTGCCCCTGCCCACCCCGCCCTCAGCCTCGTGGTGACTGCTCCTTCCGCACCTCTGACCACGGCACTCCGCTGCCCCACTCCATCCAAGCTTTCAGTGCCTATTAGTCCTTGGGCAGACAGACGCTCTGGCTTGCCTGGGACTGTGTTAATTTATAGCTGTTGTTCTAGCACAATTATTATTTAAAAAAAAAATTCCTTCTTTATTGATTTGAGAGAGAGAGGAAGGGAGAGGGGGAGAGAGATAGAAACATCGATGAGAGAGAACATCAATTGGCTGCCTCCTGCATGCCTCCCACCCCCACTGGGGATTGACCCTACAACCTGGGCATGTGCCCTGACCGGGAATCGAACTGGTAACTGGCATGCTGCCCAGGTGCATGGGTCAACACTCAAACACTGAGTCACACGGGCCAGGCTCCAGCACAATTATTAACTGTGCCTCCTTTTATTCTCTAAAGTCTTAATTTGGGTTATCAAAATAACCCATCCATCTTACGTATCACTATCTGAATGGAGCACAAACTGCCCCCCTTCACAGACTGGCCTGAACTTTCCTTCCCAAAGTTCCCCACCCATTCCACTCAGACCCCAGCCCTCGACACCTCTTCAATAGGTTTCCACCCAACTGGAAACACACATCGTGATTGTCTTTACTTCTAAGCCTTTTCTCAAGCTATGCCTGTCTCCTCTCCACCTGTCTCCTCTCCACCTAGCCTGAGATACCTCTGAAAGAGCCCCTGCCCTTGTCCTTCCGTCAAGACCTTGTTTAAGTTTCAGGCTTCTGCCTCTTTAGTGCAAAGGGTGGTCTGGCCTTCCTGTGTATCCTGGGCTGGAGGACAGTCAGAGTGAGGTCGGGCACGGAGGGAGGATCACAGGCTTCTGCAGTGGCTCACGGGGGAGACTCGGGGCAGATGTGAGCTTGGCCAGGGAGGAGCCGGTGGTGAGAGCCCTGCTGAATGCCTGAAGTTCTGCAGGGCTGGGAACCACTCCTGGGGACCGGACTCAGAGGCATAGAAAAGCCTTGCCTTGTTCTGTCTCTTTTACCCTGAATCTCACTGGTGGCCGGCCGAGCCAAAAAGTTATTTCCCAGAAAAGCAGTTCCCACGCCCACAACTATCCCTGTCACCCGTTCCCACCTTCCGACTTCCCAGCCAAGGTGGATTCTCACAAAATACAACTGCTGACTGTTGAACAAAGTACATTTATAAAATAATATTTATTTTCATTTAACATTATGAGTCACACCTTTGGTTCTCAAGAACAATGTCTTCTTAGAAAATGCAAAGTATTTTCATATTTTTACCAGGACACTTAGGAGATTCCAGAGAAGTAGGGAGGGGAGTAGTTAAACTTTAATCCAAAAAAACAAAGTAACATTACTTTGCAGGGGAAGGGACTCGACCAAAGCTTTACATGTTTTAAAAAACATAGTATTCATTGTAGAGAAGTTTGAAAACATCAATAACTTTCCCTGGCCAGTCTGGCTCAGCAGTTAGAGCGTCAGCCCCCTGACCAGAGAGTGCCGGGTTCGGTTCCCACTAAGAGCACGTACCTCGGTTGCGGTTTGTCCCTGGCTCTGGTTGGGGTCGTGTGGGTGGCAACCAGTCAATGTGTCTCTTTTGCATCAATGTTTCTCTCTCTCCCTCCCTCTCTCCCTCCCGCTCTATCTGAAGATAAATGCAAAAATGTCCTCGGGTGAGAATAAAAAAATAAAATAAAATAAAATAAAAACATCAATACCTTAATAACAATATTTTTTTTAATTATTAAATAAGAGTCATTTTTTGGGGGGGAGATGATGAGATTATCTCAGAACGCTCTTAGGGAGTCCAGGGGGAATGGATCAAGCATTTCTCAGGCTGTTGTTTGGTCTTAACAAGGTGAATATTTATGGCTTCGGAGTCTGGGACGTCCTATCCAGGTACTTCATGGCATCTCGGACCCACTTATCCTTGGGATCAGCACAGATTTCCTTGGCCTGTTTGGTCTTGAAGCTGTGGGAAAGAGGGAAACATTTAGAAGGATCCACTTTGAAAATTGTGTCTATTGAACCCCCAAATTTTCAGGACCATCTGCCACAGGGTGAAGGGGTTGCTCTGGGAGAGGAGGGAGGGGACAGAGGAAGGATGGGACTCTGGGGTTAGCTGCTGCTCTTGATGGCCCAGTCAAGCCACCCTTGTTCTCCACTCCGAGGAACTCGTAGGACCCGAACAAGCAGACAGAGAGCTAAGAGGGAACATGTCCGGTAGTACAACTTCATGAACTGGCTGGTAGAGGACACGCTCTCTGAGTCTATGGCTTCAAGGAACTCGGACACAGTTCTTAACCTCTGCTCTCTAGAAATGAACTTCTGGGATGGGAGCAGGTGAGCTTTTGTTTACTTACAGCACAGCTTTTAGGGGACATCTACTGTCTGTGATTCTTTCGTAACTCTGCAGTCTCTGCGTGGGCATCTTCTTACTGGCCACGTCGAAGCAGCAGACGGTTGGGATAACAGCTGAATTTGCAGGAGAAATGAAAGACAGGATGAGCCACTAATAATATGTAGATGTTTTAAAGCATGGAAGGAGGAAGGGAGAAAATTTAGGAGAGGGCATGAAAATATAAGAGGAGGAGGTAGAATTCATTTGCTCTGAGGTCCTGTACTTATGCCCTTGATTTGGGGTCCCTAGTGGGGACCCATTACCACTGCAAAAGTAGAGACAAAGCTTGGTCAATGCAATAAACTCTCGCTCTGTTATTAAGAGCTATGCAGCTGGACGATAGTCACAATCGGTTCACTAGTCTCTGTTCTCTGCTTCCTGGACACACGGTAGACTTGCATTTCTTGGTTACTTTTGGTTGGTTGGAGCCATTAACGAGTTTGGACCCATAAGTGAGAAGCCAGAGTGACAAGTGCCATTTCTGAGCCAGAATTCATTATTTCCAGTGCAAGAAACTTAAGAATCTTTCCCCTCGTCCTGGTAAGCAGAAATGCTCTGCTGGGCGGCTGCCCCATCAGCCTAGAACCCTGAGTGTATGAGGCAGGTCTAGTCAACACATTGTAGATATTTAGTAAGAGTGAGAAATGCATCTTTCTAGTCTCACGTCCCCGACCGTTAGGATTGTTTGTCCTCCCAGCGTGCATGATCTTATTTGCATTGGTAACATGCAGTAAATCTAAATCATCACAGCATGGAAAAATGAATTACGATATAAACACCTAGTTTTTTTTTCCCCAAAGTCAAAATATGTCACCTCCAGAGATGCCCCTGGAACCTGATTTTTTCCCCCTCTAACCACCTTTTCTGAAAGCTGTCTTGGAGTCCATTAAAAATTCTGAGCCTCCAATCAAGCAACTCCCCTTCCCCCAGCACTGCCCACATGCCTACTGTGTCCCCAGTAAGAGAGGGTAAGAGAGGGTCTTTCTTTTGTGGGTCCCATCCCTAAACACTGCAAGGCAGCCAGATCATGGACATACTCTGTCTTTCTCAATACCCATGGCAGAATACAACTAGCCTGGGTTTCTCTTTCACTGACTGTAGTTGGGAACTTCTCATCCACTCATGGAACCTGGTATGATAGTTCTGGAGGTGGTCAGCTCTCCCAGAGGGAGAGAGGGGGCTTACCTGGGTGAGTGAGCACTTGGGTGCTGAAGACGGCCATAGTGAGCAGCAGGCACAGGAGAGCGGCGGAGACCTTCATGCTGAAGGGTGTGGACACAGCTTCGGCGTGGGAGTTGCCGGTGTGTGTGCTTGGCTCAGTCTCTCTGCTCCTCTGGCTGCTCTGCTGGCCTTTTAAAGCCCACAGAGAGAGTGGGAGCTTCCAGGGAAGTCTTTGCCTTTGCAGTCATCGAGGGAGGTCCCAGCTTCTACTTCCTGGAAAGTTAGAACTTAAGATGGGCAAAGTAGGGCAAAGAAACTTGGCATATTTTCACCCACCTCAAAGTGGGGAAGGAAAGGACTGAGCAAGGAAAGTAATCTGAGAAGGTTTTTCTTAAGAACTTCGCTCTCCCTGACATGAGACATATGTCATGGGGGAAGAAGCAAAGGGACCATGGCAGGAAGAGCTGAGACCCTTCCCCGGTCCCTGAGTTCACAGGGTGGTCTTTGGGATTTGGGAGGCCAGGAAGGGACCCTCAAACTGCTGCTAGGCTCCCACCCAGATGTGGAGAGATCTCAGCAGCTCTGAACATTGTCAGCTGTCTGGGAACCCAGGAATGGGAGCTCGTGAGAACCTCACCCCCTTTTTCAACCTAGTGGTTGGGGAATCTCAGTGCCCCAGAATTTCAGTGTCAGAGGATGGCAGAACTGGGTAGCTCCTATTGACCTCGGCTTTCTGTGCATTCCTCCCCCATCCCAGGTTTATTGAGGAACAACTGACAAATAAAATTGTATATATGTAAGGGGTATAATGCGATGGTTTGAATATACATATACATCGTGAAATGATTACCTTAATCCAGCCCACTCACAGGTCCATCGCCTCACTACCTCACATGGTTACCCAGTTTTTTCGTCGGTGTGGTGAGAACACTAAAGACCTATCTCACAGTAAGTTTCAAATCTATAATATAGTGACCAGACTATATTATAGTCTAGACTAGATTAGATCCCAAGAACTTAACCATCTGAAACTACATCTTCAAAGCAAATGAGCCACGGCCTCCAAGGAGCTATTTGAGGTGAAGGAAGTGTTAACCATGTTCACTACTTATCCTCTGCACTTATCATAACACTCAAGAAATATATTTTTTAAAAGAGTAAAATTACTCTTTAGCAGGCCGTGCATTGTTATATCATTTGACAAACATCTCCCCAGAAATACAAATTAAAACCACAATGAGACATCATCCCACACCTGTTAGGATGCCTATTGTCAAAAGACGAGGCATGATACGTTGGCGGGTCTGTGGAGAGAAGGGCGCCCTTCTTCCCTGCTGATGGGGATGCAGATTGGTGCAGCCACTGTGGGAAACAGTGTGGAGGTTCCTATAGTATTTCTAAACTATATTGCCAGCCCCTAAGCCTTTTTTTCTAAATGGAATCTGTAGCAAAAGCCTCTTCATCAGATTCACTGTAATGGAGTGGGTCTGCTTGAAGCAGAGTGGGTGGCCCCCCCTACCCTCACACCCCAAGGATTCAAGGAGCTCCTTTGGAAAACCAGCAACTTAGTGCACCCTCACTCCTGAGCACACGGGACAGATGAGGTGCGCAGTGGCTGAATATAGTGGAGAGAAAGAGAAGATAAAAAGAACAAAGTGCCTGGCTGTTGTGGCTCAGTGGTTGAGGGTCGAACCATGCACCAAAAGGTCACCGGTTTGATTCCTGGTAGGGGCACATGCCCAGATTGTGGGCCAAACCCCCAGTGGGGGGCATGCAGGAGGCAGCCAGTCAATGTTTCTCTCTCTCTCTCTCTCTCCTTCTCCCTTCTCTCTCTCTTTCAAATCAATAAAGGAAGAAAGAGAAATAGAAGAACAAAAAATCATGTTTCCTTGGTGCATGACACCAGGCCCCCTGGTAGGAGCCGGTGCAAGAGAAGCAGGTTTCATGGGGTCTTCAATGAGGTCCTGGTTGAGTTCTCTAATGGGGTCACTGTGCTGAGCTGAACGCTGGCATTGGGCCCTGCAGGTCCTCTCCTGACTCTTCCTGCACGCTTGCATCTCAAATTCATTGACTGGTACGGCTTGCACACTGAGATGTGTTGAGAGACTAGGAGGCCTTGCCTAGGGTTAGGGGACTAACCCAAGGTCTCAGTCCCATCTGACTGCTCATCTCCATAATGGGCACAGGATTAAGAACTCCTCGCTGGCCTAAATGGTCTCTCGGATGCTATCTAAAATAATTGGTCTCCAGCTACCTAAAAAGGGACCAAGCAGAGGCCAGACAACCTGTCCCTTCCTTGTTCTTTCCCGCTCATGGCCAGGTGAGATGGTCTAGGGTAGACTCTGAAATCAGGGTCCTGAGTTTGAATGATGGCTCTGCCACTCACCAGCTTTAACACCAACTTCTAACCACTGTCTGCTAAGCTAAGATGGGAAAATGGATCATGTCTACCTTGGAGAAGTGACACATGCATTAAATTAGTTAACATAGGTCTCTCTATATAGAGTGACCAGATCACTTAGATACCCTGTAGGTCAGTAGATGAAAGTTCATACTTATTATTATTAGGAAGTGAGACAGGTTTTGAGGGCCCGGGGATGCTGGAAAAGAGCTCTGAGTCTGGCCATATCGCTTCCTCCAGACCTTCTCCCCAGGGATGTTATATCCCAAGGATGGCTCTCAGGAATGTCTGAGTTGCACATGTGGGGGATGTAAAGTCTCAAAAGTTATGTCAGTATGAGCTTTGGATGTTCTTGACCTCGAAGGTGTCTCGCTGACATCAAGAAATTATGGTCTTTTAACAGGAATGATTTCGTAACTCTGCAGGGTAATAGGAGGGCCTTGTCAACAAGTGACCTTCCATTTCTGAGTTTTTCTCCAAGGGCTTTGGAGTACTCTAAATGAGAGAGAGCTCATGGGGAATAAATAAATAAATGTGATCTTTAGACATCCGAGTCCGGCAGCTGTTCCATCGCACCGTGGTGAACAGCTTCACAGGCTATTGTGCCTCTTCCTCAGAGTTCTCCTCAGCAGTGACCCGGGCTCGATCCACTGGTCTGGTGCCTGGGAAATGTGAGACCCGGACCAAGAGCGATGGGAAGAAAATAAACTCTTCTCTGTGGAAGTAAACCCTGGTCGTCCTGTTTTCCAAAGAATGATGATTGCGCAGTGGACAGCGATCCTGGGAAGCTCTGCCTCAAGTGTCCTAGCATAATGCAAAGTAGTGCAGAGATGAGACATCAACATGCATTGTATTCCAACTCTCCCTTTAAAAAAAGAATAGGGACCTGAGACTTGGGGACCAGTAACAAGACTCCTGAGGCAATGAGGCATGTCCTAGGCTGAGCTGGTTCTAGAACCTCTGTCCCTTGACTCCCTCTCTAGTGAAACCTTTACCACGTGATAGCCCTGGGACTCAGTCTTCCCTTCTGCAAAAAAGGACCAAATAGGGGCTGCTGTCTCTCTTTCTTAAGGGTCACTGGGACCATGCCTGCAGTTTCTTGTTAGTTTTGGAAGAAAATTATCCCCACAGATATGTTAATGTTAATATAAAAATTCTAACAATGCGTCTAGCAAAAAGCAAGTTCTTATGCACTCTATTCAAGTTGCTATATTATTGCATTTTATGTGTTCACTTATTTAATCCTCCCAAGAAACCTATGAAGTAGGTATTCTAATTAAGTTCATCTTAAAGATGAGAAAACAAAGGCTTAGGGAAGTAAATTGACTTTCTCTTCCGTGAAACCATTTATAGAAGTGAAGGTTGCTTCTCAGAGTTGCCATGAGAAAAACCAAAGCTCTTTTATATGAAATATTCTTACTGTTCGTTATATCGCCGTGTGCAATCCTCTTGGGGTGATCAAGTCAACTCTTTTGTACAAAGATGAACACTGATGCACAGAATGCTGAAATACTTCTCTGAACCATTTGGTCGTGATAATGCATAGCACATGGTTCAACAATAACAACCACCACGATCTCAGTGACTCTTTGCCTTTTGTTTATATCATGGCCTCCTACTGATCACTCTCTTCGGAGGATTGACTCAGAGATCCAGGCTACTTGTACATTACCGCCGTCATCTGGAACATGTAGCCCCCAAGTTCCCTGAGGCTGTGAGAGAGACGGTGGGAGACTGCGTAGGATGTTTTAAAGAACCAGTCATGGAAGTGGCTTATATCAATTCTGTCTGCATCCTGTTGGCCTTAACTCATCGTATGACTCCCGTCTAAGTGGAAAAGATGCTGAGAAATGAAGCCGAGCACACGAAAATTGGGCGAAGACTAATAGTTCCCGTCACAGTCTGTTCTTGGCTCACTTTTTGTCAACAGAGATTAATGCAATTAACCCGTCCCTAAGACAGTCCCGTGGAGTCATTGCTTCAACCTTAATGGCCAGGACCACTGCCTGGCAGGTGGTCTTCTCTGTCAGGTGAGGACATGGGTCGCCTTTGTCAAGTGACGTGTGAGCTAAAAAAACAAGTTCTTTGCCCCTTGCCTTATTTTTAAGTTTGGAAAAGACAGAATACATGCAATCACCATCCTCATTGATGGAAGGGAGGGTCATAGACACCAGTGGCCAATGCGCTGCAGCTACCCCGCGGCCCTTCCGGCAGACACTGCCAAATCCCTCACCCCCGGTGGGGCTCCATTCTGCAATCTGGGGAAGTTCTTTTGTCTTTTTCATCCTGGCTCCTGATTGCTCCTGTGAGATCCCTCCTTTTACATCAGTCCTCTTGGCCACTTCTCGTATGGGGGTGGAGAGAGACATGTTCATCCAGGGGCTCTGCAGCCTTTGAAGACTGCTTGCTGCACTGTGGAACTTGGAGCTCGCTTTCTTGTTGAATGGTCAGCGGCTCTTTCTATTTTCCATTTCAGACTCCGTCATGGCTTTATGGGCGATATCATATAGTTATTGGTAACAGGTTTCTGATCTCCTTCACCGAGTCAATTCCACATGCCAGCAGCCCCAGCCCAAGTTCCTTTACAGAAATACTTTAATCACTTTTCTACTTTTCCTTCTTCCTCTCTCTCTGTCTCTCTGTCTCTCTGTCTCTCTCTCTGTCTCTCTCTCCCCCTCTTCTCTCTCTCCCTCCCTCCTCTTGATGGAACTTGAAATGGCAAGGTTACAACCTCAATCTCATTT